AGAAAATCAAAGACTGGTGCAGTCAGATAAAAACTTGGAAGGGTATTGGAAATGGAAAAGGCATCCCATCCTTTAAGATTTCAGAATATACCTGAAGACAAGAAGATCTTACGGAACAGATTATTTGATGATTTAAACACACTGATTTGGAAATTTATTTGGCAAAGGAAGAAAGCCAGAATTAGATTAAAGAAAATGGAGGGTTTGGCTTGCCGGATAGGTCTTATACTACCAAGCATGTGCTTTAACACAGCTACAAGAATGGATAACCCTTAGACATAAAAGATTATTATACTTAGAAGGATATGATTTAAAACTAGAATGGCACACTTTTCTATAGTATGGGAAGAAGAAAATTTATACATACTTCCAAAATCTCATTTTGGCTCCTTTTTGTGCAAGAGGAACTCTTCATCCTGAAAATTTCTTCACCCTCAAATTAATATCTATCTGATTATTCTCTCACATAATGACAGGACTTTTTTTCTTATAAATATTTCATTATTTTTCTAGCTTACTGTCCAATACTTAATAAGCAACGTATTGTCTGGGTCCATTAGTAATTCAGTGGTATATATTAACTTTTTCAGTCTAGATCCAATATTACGCCAACAAATATTTCCTCTCTTCCGGTAGTGTCTGTTTTCCCACACTAGGCAAATACAAATGAGGACTTTTGACCAAAAAATTTTTCCTGCTTCTGCATTCATACTGGTTGACATAGGTCTCATTTTTCACAGTGAACACCCTCACATTCCAGAGGAAGTTTGCATTCTCATTTCTTTCATCTTTCAACATCTTGCAATTCATTATGTAGCTTCTACAGACAGCAATACAAAGCTTAACTGTAAAACAATTGCTATTTAAACCATTCTATTCATGGTATCTTCTATAGCAGGGGTCCCCAACTCCTGGTCTGTTTCAAACAAATTTTATTAATTTCTCAATTTTACATCCAAATGCTTAGGAAGCAGCGTGGTGATTGGGTAATCAATAGTCCAGTAACAAAGTCTTTTGTACATATCTCAGATTGCATGATTAAAAGCTCCTCTCTGTTTCCCTTAATTATTATATCACATTGAAGTTAATACATTTGTAATTATAGCTCAATCAATACATTTATCCATATAATTTTACTTATACATATCCAAGTACTGTTTTTTAAGTTTTACCTAATTTCAATTACAGTGTTCCAATTTAGCCTTTAATATCCATAATATTTAGACTTCGGGTAACACAAATTTTCCTTATTTCATTACAAAATAGTTATCATATCTAAAATACACATATTATTCAGTTAATTACATTTTTACTACAAGTATATTCTATTTCTATCCTAGTACCTCATCATTTACTAATAAAATATCTTTCATTGTCACAAACCAACTTCTGTATTACAATTCAAAACTATAATATAATGGCTAATTTTCATTTCCCTTATAAGTCTAAGTCCTAAATATTAAATCAATCAATATCTTTAAAGATTTCCTTGGCCCATTAAGTAAGATTTTAAGCTCTTCCATTATCAGTCAACAAAAAAGAGAAAAAAAGGAAGAGAAAGAAAATCCCATTTTTAAAATCTAACTCTAGTTTTCTTTTTGTGCCAAGCAGGCTTCCATACCAGTGCCTTTAAATCCTCAGATGGATCTCCCTTCATTCTTACATGTTATTTGAATCAAGGGAGAGCATCCAGTTATCAATTTTTTAAAGGAACTGGCCTCTTTTTGATCATTAGATTGTTGCCCTAATAATTCAAATCTCCATAATTGATTTAAAATATTTATTGTCAGTTCAGTCTGGTCTTCTTCTTCCAGTTTCATCTGGCTAAAATTAGAGGTCATGTCCGGTGTTGTAGTTGTTGCTTGTCTAGATTATCTAGGTTCTCAATATGTTGTGTTTGTTGCTCTTTAGCACCCTCCATCTTAGTGTTGCTTTCTTCAATTTCTGTTGTTTTTTGAGTTGCAGATTCTTTAATTGAAATCAAGATTTCACTGTAAATTGTACTTGTTGTGTAGAATCCTCTTTGATATTAATTTGTTTGGATTGTAAGTTCATCAGTTGAAATCTGGGCTTCAATTTGTAATTTTAAGGTGACATCTTTATCTTTCACTCTGGAATTCATTAGCTCAGTGGCTTCAAGGATTTTTTCAAGTATGAGTTTGTAGTTAAGTTGTGGGTAGAATTCCTCCATTTCTGTGGTGATTGAAGATAGTCCTTTAGTGGAGGCTATGTTTAATAAAAGTCAGCAGATGTCCACTTCCACTATCCCTAGAAGTTGTTTTCACCACCCAGCTGTTTCAAATTCTTATCTTTTTTAGATAGTACGAAGGACAAATCTAGGGAGTAAGCAAGCCTCAAAGAAATTCATTTGCTCTACCAAGCTTCACCACAAGATGTTCCCGATAGCATATAAAATCTTTTTCCAGACACAAGTTAGGCTTTTATCCTGTTTACATTTTTTTTCCCAATTTAACAAATAGGTAAGGTAATAGGTCCCTGTAACAATAGGAACTTTTTGGACCCCAAATATCCAAAAAGTACAAGTCCAGTTATTTAGTTGTTTAGATTAGTTGTTTTCTTTTCTTTTCTTTTCAAAGCTGTATTTTCCCAAGGTAGGCAGACACTGCTATGTTAAAAGCGGGGAAGAAATTTCAGAAGGCTTACAGGAAGACAGTTGGGATACAAGAAAGGTAAGGTGAGGTCTCACCCAATTCCTCTGCGGTGTTTTTGTTGTGCTTGATGGTGATTTTGGCTTTCGGCTGGTTCGGCTTAGTTCGGCTTAATCAACATGGCCAATCTTTTCTCCATCGGTACAAAGGAGCTGCCTCGGATCAAACGGAAGGGCTACCGCCCTTCCGCAATCTGTCAAGGGTCTTCCTCATGGTCGAGGCCCCTCCAGAGCAACTTACAACCTTTTTCAGAGTCACCCAATGAAGGGAAACCGGAGAGAGAACTCTCCCCCCACGTTTGCTAGTGCTGCGATCCAGAACCGGAAGCCCCAACCCCTGGTCTACTGACCAGTACTAGGCCACAGCATCCTAGCAACCGGTCCGCACAAACAAGCCAAAGCCCCACCCGCAGGATGCAGCAGCACACAAAACCATGCCCCTTCCGCTCCATGGAAAAACCTCTCTCCAAGGAACCAGTCTCTGGTGCCCAAATGGTTGGGAACCTCTGTTCTATAGCATCACACTTATTTTGGTAATTCATATATAGCTATAATTTCTGCAACTCTTTTGTCGGACTGGCCAGTGTACTCCCCAATAAAGAATGACTCTTGATTCCATGGATGTTAGAGAAAAGATAATTTTACCTTTTACTTTTACCCTTTACTGAGTGCAGTGTGAGCGAGGCAAGCATTAAAGCAGTGGTTCTCAACCTTTTTAATGCCGCAACCCCCCAACTGGTCATAAGTCAAGGACTTTCCCTGTCTGGGAGCAACGCGCATGCGTGGTGCCGTTCCATGCGCTGGCCGAGGTGTAGCTGGCAAGCGGCAGAGACGGCGCAGGCCAACCACCGGCTGGGCCACCAGCTGGCCCAGCCCAAGGGAGGTAAGGCACTGCCGGGCCCCACGCGCACCAGCAACCCTCCCTGCGCCCGCCGGCCTCCCACCCCTGAACCTCTTTTACTTACATTTTTAGTAGTTGCTCAGCAGGGAGTGGTGGAAACTTCCAGACAGCTCGCTTTTGCTGCAGACAACCTGCAGCACTGTTTGCAGAATGGGACTTTTGGCAGGCTCAGCAGGGCAGAGACAGCCTGGACAATTCCTATGGCTTTTGAAAGCCAATAGAATTAGACTCTATTCAAGAGAGTCTATTCTATTGGCTTTCAAAAGCCAATAGAATAAAAGGGAGTAGCACAGCTAAGGAAAAGGGGAAAAAATGGCGGACTGCATTGGTTGGCGACCCCCGTGAAATGGTCATTCGACCCCAAATGGGGTCCCGACCCACAGGTTGAGAACCACTGCTCTAAAGAAAAATTGCGTGAAAACTCTATATTGAAAGCAATCCCAAATGTTTAAATCCCTTCCCTTGGCCAGAACAGTCCAATCCAATCCTGGTCCGATGTTTTGGGAACCTGGTGCATCAGGAGCAGCTATAAATTCCTTTCGCAGGGCTAGTGTCCTTGAGGGCAGGCAGATGGCTCAGTTTGGCACCTCTGGTTCCTGTTAATGTCCTTGCTCCTCAAATTCTCACAATATTCTTTCACATCTCTAGCACTCTTCCCCTGTGAAAAGTCTTCCCCTTAGTTTTGGCAGTTGCTAGGGAAATTCAAAGAAAGCAAAAATAGCTATCTGAAATCTTTCCTGATTTATGCATTTCCCATGCTATGCCTGGAATGACATTTTGCTAGCTAAGCCCTATACTTGCTCTCAAAAATTAATTTTTATAGAACTTGTATTGGGGATTTGGGCTTTCTTTATTATGATCCAATTGGAAATGGGATAAACGCAAAGAAAAAAAGATGTTTTCTTTTTTATGTGAAACGGCATTGGTGGCCTTCAAATGACAGTAGCTATACTGTTCATAATTAAAACATCAAATGCCAAGCATTTGGTTTCCATTAGTGAATTCATCTCTCTTGGGCTTCAAGTTGTGAAGATCAGACTCAAAAAAACCCTTTAACTCAGTAAATATAATTAGGAAACATATATATTTTCAACAACTAAACCTAACAGTTAAACAGAGTCTCATCCAAATGTATATGTTTATGGAACATTCGGCCATTGGTCCTCTTGAAGCCTTTTCCATATTTCACAAATTTATAGGGCTTCTACACTGTGTGAGTCCTTTTATGGGAGTTAAGATAACTGTTTATACTAAAACCTTTTCCACACACCATACATTTATACGGCTTCTCCCCTGTGTGGATCTTTTTATGGGTGTTAAGATAACTCTTCGTAGAAAAACTCTTTCCACATTCTATACATTTATAAGGCTTCTCCCCAGTGTGAATCCTTTTATGGATGTTAAGATTACTATTTCTAATAAAAGCCTTACCACACTCCAGGCATTTAAAAGGCTTCTCCCCGGTATGCATCCTGTTATGGTAAATAAGTAGGCAGTTCTTAATGAAGCTCTTTCCGCACTCCATGCATTTATATGGTTTCTCCCCTATGTGGATATTTCTATGGAAAATAAGGTCACCGCTCTTAGGGAAGCTCTTTCCACAATCAATGCATTTATAGGGCTTCTCTCCTGTGTGGATCCTTTTATGAACAATAAGAGAAGAATTGTGATAGAAGCTCTTTCCACACTCTGTGCACTTATAGGGCTTCTCTCCTGTATGCATCCAGTAATGGGAAGTAAGAGAATTATTGTGAACGAAGCTCTTTCCACACTCCATGCATTTATAGGGCTTCTCTCCTGTGTGGATTCGTTTATGAACAGTAAGAGAAGAATTGTAACAGAAGCTCTTTTCACACTCTGTGCACTTATAGGGCTTCTCCCCTGTATGGATCCAGTAATGGGAAGTAAGAGACTTACTGTGAGCGAAGCTCTTTCCACACTCCATGCATTTATAGGGCTTCTCCGCTGTATGAAGCCAGTAATGTGAAATAAGAGAAGTACTGAGAGTGAAGCTCTTTCCACACTCCGTACATTTGTAGGGCTTCTCCCCTGTGTGGATAATTTTATGGAAAGCAAGACTGTGGCTCTGAGTGAACGTCTTTCCACATTCCATGCATTTATATGACTTCCCTGCTGTATGGCTCCGGTAATGCAAAGTAAGAGAATTACTACAAGTGAAGCTCTTTCCACACTCCTTGCATTTATAGAGCTTCTCCTTTATGTGGATTCTTTTATGGCAAGTAAGACTTTTGAAGTGAGTAAAGTTCTTTCCACACTCCATGCATTTATAGGGCTTCTCCCCTGTGTGGATCCTTTTATGGGAAGCAAGAGTCTTTATGTGAGTAAAGTTCTTTCCACACTCCATACATTTATATGGCTTCTGCCCTGTATGGATCCGGTAATGTGAAGTAAGATAATGACTACAAGCGAAGCTCTTTCCACACTCAGTGCATTTATATGGCTTTTCCCCTGTATGGATCCGGTAATGCAAAGTAAGAGAATGACTAAAAGTGAAGCTCTTTCCACACTCCATGCATTTATAGGGCTTCTCACCTGTGTGGATCCTTTTATGGGAACTAAGACCACTGTTCTGAGTAAAGCTCTTCCCACATTCCATGCATTTATAGGGCTTCTCACCTGTGTGGATCCTTTTATGGGAATTAAGACTACTGTTCTGAGTAAAGCTCTTCCCACACTCCATGCATTCATAGGACTTCTCTCCTGTATGGATCCTTCTATGTGACTTTAGATAACGTCTAAAAATAAAGCTCTTTCCACACTCCATGCATTTATAGGGTTTCTCGCCTGCGCGGGTCCTTTTTTGAGATGTACGGGACCCCTTTTTGTGAGAAAGAGACAAGGTCCATTTGTAACTTTTTCCACTGTCTCTACATATATAATCTTCTCCTTTGATTTGAGTTTGATAGTATTTATTTACATTTAATTTATTTATGAGTACGTTTATATCTTTTCCAATATATTTCTTTTTTATTTTCCTTTGTTGGACCACAGAGGCTTTAGTTGGTGCGTGAATAGAAAATGAATTTTCCCAATTGCAGTTATTTGACTGGTTTCTCTCATGGCTTTCTTCTTCCATTAGATCTGTGGCATTCTTCATATTATACCCATGAGTGATCATTTGGAGTAGTTCCCAGGAATCTTCATATTCTTCCCCATTACCTTCACAGGAAAATAAAAATAAAAATAACTTTAGAGAAAAAGAGCAAAGCATAGGAAGTTTGAATATAATGAAAAAACAAACTGCTTGAATCTTCTCAGAGAAGCCCTCCAAGAATTTGATCTGGATTTTCTTGATTAAAATTTTGGAAGATAAATCTAGCTTTGTATGGCTAGGGCAAAATCATAGATTAAATTTCAAATTCTCCAAAATTTGAAGGAAAGGGGAAGGTTTGGTTTGCCCGATTTGAAATTGGACTTTGTAGTCTGTTCTGTCGTTTGGATAAGAAACAGGAGTTGCTCAGAATTAAGAGAATGTTATAACTAGAAGGGCATGACAGAGGTTTGCATGCCAAGGATCTTTGTGGTAGAATAAATTTTGGCTCAATTTAGATTTTAAAACCGTAACGTCAGAAATACCACATTGAGAATATGAAACAGATATAAAATCAGGCTGTGTCCCAAAACATCTTAATGACTCTTAGCAGAAAATAGAAGCAGGAAAAGACAATGGATAACATGTCAAAAGCCATTATAATTTGAGCTGCGGGAATACCAAATTAAGTCAAGAATGGCGAAAGGATATAACTTCAGCTGTTTTCATATTGTCAGAAAGGTTCCAGGTAGATGAATAGAACTATAGTGTTCAACAACATAAAGCAGAATTTGAATCTCCGTTGTGTACAAAAGATACGTAATTGTTAAAACCTTTAATCAGGCTGAGGAATATGAACAGAAAAATATTCAGAAGTGTATAAATGTACCTCAGACTAATATCAGAAATGTCGACAAGATAAAGGATCATTTTGTCGTGCTCTGGTGGACTTGTAAAAAAGCTAGAAAAGTTTGAATTCAAAGACATTCAGTGATAATGAAAACTTTAAAGATTAATATCCAACTGTAATCAGAAGACTTTATGCTGGCACTAAGCAACAGTCATTGAAGATTGTCTCTGAGTATGATAACCGTAATGAGACTATTATACACAAAAAGCTGGAAGGGCTCTTACCCAAAGATGCCACGTTCCTATGATTTTCCAGCATGACTTCCCAATGCAGCGCTTTTTGGTCGGCATCCAGCTGAGACCACTCCTCTTTGGAGAAATACACAGCCACCTCCTTAAAGGACACAAGGCCATTCTGAATGACAAGAAAACAGAACAAAAACTGAGAGCATTTTAAAGACCTGAAGTATTTTTTATGTGATTCTAAACCAGCGGTTCTCAACCTGTGGGTCGGGACCCCATTTGGGGTCAAATGACCATTTCACGGAGGTTGCCAAACAACGCAGTCCGCCATTTTTTTCCCTTTTTCCTTAGCTGTGCTACTCCCTTTTATTCTATTAGCTTTTGAAAGCCAATAGAATAGACTCTCTTGAATAGAGTCTAATTCTATTGGCTTTCCAAAGCTAATAGGAATTGTCCAGGCTGTCTCTGCCCTGCTGAGCCCGCCAAAAGTCCCAGTCTGCAAATGGTGCTGCACCAGTTGAGTAGTCCTCGATTTACGACCGGTTGAGTAGTCCTCGATTTACGACCGGTTGGAGGTCGCGGCATTAAAAAGGTTGAGAACCACTATTCTAAACAAAGATATACATTTTGAGGCCATTTAGTGAAAAAAATTGCACTTTTCATCTGGATCTTTCTGTCTGACTCTCTGTCCACATCCATCAGCAAGACTTTCAGCATCTGGAGCAGCAGTTCTCAACCTTTGGGTAGCGACCCTTTTGGGGGTCGCACAAGCCTTTCACAGGAGTCGTTTAAGACTATCGGAAAACACATATTTCCGATGGTCTTAGGCAGGGCTTGTCAACCGCCTTCTCTCCCTCCCCCTCCTGCTCCACCTCACTTGTTTGTGGAAAATATGCTGCTTGGTGGCAGTTTGCATGAACTCTACCAAATGTGCCCTGCAGGGGGCGCATGAAGAGCGCAGGCGCAGAGCAAGGCCCCGCCCTCCCCAACCGGATTGACTACTTCTCATGCACGCAGGTCAGTGAAGGGAGGCTGCCGCAGCAGCCAACTCCTGCGCCCATCAGCTGGCGACCCCCGAACTTGCACTTGTCAGCTGGGAGGTCTGGCGACAGCCGCTGGTCTCCTTTGCCACCCCACCCGTCCTCGACTCCTCCTCCGCCCGTTCATGTCGAGCCCGTCGGGACTGGACAGGGAGAGATGGAGGGAAGGAGGAAGGGACTCCTCCTCTCCTAAGCTTCAAAGCACGATCAGCTTCCCAAGGGTGCCACAATCCTCACGAAAGCGGAGGGGCGGGGGAAGCAAAGGGGTGAGAAAGCTCGCAGCGGGCTCAAAGGAGCACCTGTCAGCGTTGGTGACAAGAAATTCCCCACAAACCCAGGGAAGGGCTGGAGAAAAGGAGCCCCTTTGGGAGGAAACCGCTACCTTCTTCTCCTTGGCTTTGCGCTCTTCTATTCCTCAGCAGCCAGGCTACCAAGCCTCTGCTGGCTGGAACTTCCTTTTTTTTCCTCCCTCTTCGTCTCTTCTTCCTTCCCTCCTTCTCCCATTGTCCCTTCCTTCCTTTCGCCTCCCTCTTTGTCCCTCCTTCCCTCCCTCTCTCCCCTTGTCCCTTCCTTCCTTCCTTCCTTCCTTCCTTCCTTCCTTCCTTCCTTCCTTCCTTCCTTCCTTCCTTCCCTCTTGTCCAGGCTCGGGGCGAGCCTCTACAGCTGATCCGCGCTTCTGCAGCTGTAGCTGCTCTCCTTGGCTGCTGCCCAGCAAACTTGCTCGAACTTTGCTAGAAAACATGCCGCTTGCTAATTTAGCAGAAGTGTGAATCAGCTGTAGCCCAGCGCTGATCCTGGAACTTCTGCTAACTTAGCAAGCGGCATGTCTTCTGGCGAAGCTGAGCAAGTGAGCTGGGCGGAGCTCTCTGTCTCTGCCTGTGCACAGGCAGGTTTGCCGGCAGCAAAGCTCCCAGCGACGCTGGCAGCCTATCCCCCTCCCCTTGTCCCTTCCTGGGCACGGAGGGGGGGAGGAAGGAAGGGATGAAGAGGGAGGGAAGTAAGGGACAATGAGAGAGGGAAGGAACAATGGAAGGGAGGGAAGGAAGGAAGGGACAAAGAGGGAAGGAAAGAAGGAAGGAAAGAAGGGAGAGAAGGGGAGAGAGGGAGGGAAGGAGGAAGAGACTAAGAAGGAGGTGAAGGACAGGAAGAAAGGAAGGAAGGAAGGGACAATGGGAAAGAGGGAGGGAAGGAGGAAGAGACTAAGAAGGAGGTGAAGGAAAGGAAGGAAAGAAGGAAGGAAGGGACAATGGGAGAGAGAGGGAAGGAGGAAGAGACTAAGAAGGAGGTGAAGGAAGGAAGGAAGGGACAATGGGAAAGAGGGAGGGAAGGAGGAAGAGACTAAGAAGGAGATGAAGGAAAGGAAGGAAAGAAGGAAGGAAGGAACAATGGGAGAGAGGGAGGGAAGGAGGAAGAGACTAAGAAGGAGGTGAAGGAAAGGAAGGAAGGGACAATGGGAGAGAGGAAGGGAAGGAGGAAGAGACTAAGGGAGGGGAAGGAAAGGAAGGAAAGAAGGAAGGAAGGAAGGAAGGAAGGAAGGAAGGAAGGAAGGGACAATGGGAGAGAGGGAGGGAAAGAGGAACAGACTAAGTAGGAAGTGAAGGAAAGGAAGGAAAGAAGGGACAAAGGGAGAGAAGGGAAGGAAGGAAGGCATGCACCCACCCCAGTCCCATCCCAGAGACCCACAGATTCCCCCCCACAGGCACTCTGCAACCTGAGTGATCAGCTGGCTATGCCCGCTGGCCATTGATCATGTGACCCTGGGACACTGTGAATGTCATAAGTATGAATCAGTTGTCAAGCATCCGAATGTAAATCACATGATCCTGGGGATGCTGCAACAATCATAAGTGTGAAAAATGATCATAATTTGCTTTTTCAGTGCTGTTGTAACTTCAGTCACTAAGCGAATTGTTGTAAATCGCAGACTACCTACACTTTCCCATTTTTTCCTCTTTTTTGGGGGGGTCAAGTTTTTGATACCCCCCGGCCAGCTGGATGGAGGGTTGGGGGTCACCACAACATGAGGAATTTTATTAAAGGGTCTCGGCATTAGGAAGGTTGAGAACCACTGATCTGGAGAGAATGCTGAATCTGGAATGGGCCTTGGAAACCCCACCGATCACTCACTCCCATACACCCAGTGTTTGCAGAAAAAAATACAGGTGGAGAGGTTGTTTTTACCATTTAAGTAAAAGCCTTGTGGTGTTTCCAGAACACACAATCCTATTCATGCCCAAAACCTTCATTAAAGTTGTTTGAGAGCCACCCAGGGATTTATATGGCTGTCATCAATAGACAAAGACACACAAGCCCTGTTTTGGCTGCTCCTCAGATTACAAGGAATCCACTGCTTGTACCCCAACCCAATGGCTGAAGAAGAGAAAGCTGTTTGGGAAGAGCATATTTCATCCTTTCCAAAGGTGGACTGTTTGGCCCCAAATTCCAGGCACAAATTGGAGTATTAGAAATTCCTTTAAAGGGCCTTGATGTGCCCAGTAGGGGCTTGATCTGCCCACCCCATTTGATTTTAACAGTCTGCTTCATCTTTTAACCTGGTACCATTATTTTGTTATCACTGGTTAAAACAAAGCTTTTTAGAAGCTGTAAGGTGCCAATGTGATTCCTTCAGTTATTATTGAGTAGCCTTGCACAATTCCACTTCAAAGAATTAATAAAAGGATCACTATTCAGCAAACACTACCACTGAAAATTTTATTTTTTATCATCATCTCTTACTTGAGTTTGAGTTTCAACCACTCTTTCAGCACCACCATAGATAGGAGTCAAATTCGTTCTATTCTTCCCTGTGAGGGAGACAGAGTTTTTCAATAAATAATAAACAAAATAGCAGGAGGCATTCTACAGAATGGAAGATATAGAGAAAGAGAGCTGAGACCTTTCTTAGGAATAGGTGGATTTTTGATTACCATCTGAGATGTCCTGACTTGTGGCATCCTGAGAGATCCTCCTGAAAAGCAGCTCCAGAGGGAGATTTGATGGATTCCTGATTCTCATAGGATCTCTAGTCTGCAGAGGAAAAGACTTGAATAAGACATTACACAACATGGATTCTTATTCTCTAAAAACAACTTCAATCCCACAATATCAATCAATGAGCCTAGAATGTAAGAAAGGAACAGCTGTCTCCAGTCTATCTTCTATAATGGATAATGGAACAATGTCCTGCAAGAACTAGTGAAACATCGCTACACATTACGAAGAGCAGAGAAGTAGGGAAGGGAAGGGTGAAAAATTCAAACACATTCTTTATTCCCTTCTGAACTTCCAAGGTGAAGGTCTCTCACCTGCAACTTGACTTGCTCCTTCTGCTCCTCTGCTTGACTCATGAGAAAACCTTCCGTCAGGGCCACCGCCTGGGAGCTGGTCTCTGCTTCACACTCCCGCAACCAGTTTTCCATCTGTGGGGGCAGAAGGGCCAGCAGCTGCTCCATAACAACCAGGTCCAACATTTGGTTTAAGTGTGCATTTGTATCTTCAGCCATTGACTATAAATATTGTGGAGTCGGCTACAAATTGTATCCTGCTGGGACCTAAAGTCACCCCAGAGAGGCGACAAAGATGGAGGGGACCCTCGTAGATCACAGTGAGATGTGGTCCAACCGTTCGACCCAAGGAAGCTCTCTGAACTAACAGGTTGAAAGATTGGCTGCAATCCAGCGGCCAGTCAGAAGCTACCAACAGCCAGGAAAAAAAGCACTATTTAGCATTTAAGCAATGCTTTTGGAACTGGGTGTGAGTATTTTTCCTGCTCTACAATTTAAAAGAAATTCCCTGAAGACAAGAATCCCAAAAAGCAAGGTTCCCAGAAGCAAGAAGATGGAGGGGGGGGAGTTCCCTGGTGCCCCTCCCCCTAGAAGAACAGTGGTGGTTCAATATTTTGGGGGAGAAAGCAGATAGATTATAAAACTAATTTGGAAATAATTTAAAGTTGCAACATTGAAAAATTTGGGAGACTTAAAATATTTTGAAAACTTTATCCTTTTTTAAAAAAAAAAATACCGGATTGAACCTTTGAGAAATAAGTCCTGGTTGAAAAACACACATTTACTGACATCTAGTGGTGACAAAAGGAACAGCACTAAGACCTTGCTTTGCACGTTGCTTGGAAGGAGTGACCTTGGCTTGAAGCCCAAACAGAGATATCAACTAGAGCAGTGGTTCTCAACCTTTTTAATGCCACGACCCCCAACCGGTCGTAAGTCGAGGACTACTCAACCGGTCGTAAGTCGAGGACTACTCAACTGGTGCAGCACCGTTTGCAGAATGGGACTTTTGGCGGGCTCAGCAGGGCAGAGACAGCTTGGACAATTCCTATTAGCTTTTGAAACCCAATAGAATTAGACTCTATTCCTTAGCACAGCTAAGGAAAGGGGGGGGGGAAATGGCGGACTGTGTTGTTTGGCGATTCCCGTGAAATGGTCGTTCGTCCCCAAATGGGGTCCCGACCCACAGGTTGAGAACCACTGAACTAGAGTTTGATGTGCCTGAACTTCTCAGCCTTTCAGATTGCAGCTGGAAAAGGAGAAAAAAAACCCTTTTTGGGCTGAGTACAGCCGGTCAGCCAGCTACAAATCCATCTGGTGGTGATGCTGTCTAACCCACATTTTTCTACCTTATCAAGTAGTAGGTTGCGGATCTACTTTACCAAATGCCTTACTGAGGTTTACCTTTTGCAGAGGGGTCTTAGTGAGGAAAAGGAAAAGGATCCCCAGCCTGGAATAATACTGAGTGAAATGATCCTGGGAAGGAACAACATTCTAACAATGGCAGGAAGGTTGAGTTCACATCACATGAAATGACAAGGAAATGACCCTGGCTTCCTGTTTTTTCAGCGCTGTTTTTTTTTGGGAACAAAGTCATGCTATAACATGAAGATTGTTGAAATGATTCTATTTCTGCATCTGAAATGCAAAAGAAAATAAATTGAAAAAATGAGAAGGCGGTGGACTTAACTATTGAACAACATTCCTCCTCATGAAAGGGAAGCTGGTAAAGGATTGCAGTGGTATTGAGCAGATGGATCCTCTGGGTATTTGTGTTTCTGTCTGTCCAGCAAGTGTGGTGTGAAATATGGTCCTTGCTTACATCAACACATGGAATATTTCATATTGGATTACAAAGCAAATCTTTTATATTTGGTAAAAAGGAAATACAAAATCCTCCAAAGTGTAGGCTAGCTGTTTTTCAAATTTAAGATCATATATATTCTACACTTAGGGATCATACAAGATGCCAGAACTCAAGGGGCTTATTAAACTGGAATGGAATACAGAAATTGGACACATTTCTTGTGCTTGATATTGAGACATTTAGGCATTAGACATTCATTAAGGATGTTCCCCACTCTTGTCTTTAAGTTTGTATGTTTGTAAGTAACTGGAGCCAGAGAAGAGGTAAGGAGGAAATTCGAAAAATGGCTTATCCCAAGAAAGAAAACTTTATCTTTTCTCAGGGTCTTAGTGAAGAAAAGGAAGAAGACCCTAACATGGAATAATACTGAGGGAAAAGATTCTGAGAAGGAACAACTTTCAAACAATGCCATGAAGGTTGTGTTCACATCAATTGAAAGGCAAAAGAAATGATCCTGGTTTAGGATGCTCACTTTCTATTTTTCAGCACTTCCTTTTTGGGAACAAAGTCACACCATAACACAAAGGCTGCTCCACACAATTTGCCCTGAATCCAGCCATATAAGCAAAGTTCACATGAAACACAGGGCTTGAAAGAATACACCCTAAAGTGATGTTTACCCACCCTTTTAAGCGGGGAGGATCTGATCCTAGTTTACTCTTTGTCTCCAGAATAAACACTAAAGATTTGCAGTTTACATATCCAAAATGGAAAACCAAAGAAAGTACCACGAAAACAGGGTCTCTAATTGAACTAGCAAAAATCCATCCCCAAAGAAAAAATAACAAGAAGAAAATCTTATAAAACCACTAAAGTCAGGAAAGAAAGTGAGGAATCCTGTTATGTACTTTGACTTCTGTGCAGCTGGGGCATATTCTGAGGAATGCTTCTTGATCAACTTCTATCAAAGACTCCAAATACATTTAAAATATGTTCTGGGTTTCTGTTTTCTAGTTATTTATTCTAATGATTTCAAAAGAAAGTTAGAGTTAAGAACAATCCTACAAACAATAAATGTCTCAAGTCACAAAACTGCAATTGAAATGAGATCTACAGCACATAAATCGATTTCAACATTTGAACTTACAGTAAAACTTTAGACAGTAGAACCCCATTAATCAGTCTGGCCCAAACCCCTTTGGGAACTTGAGAAGGCTGAATTAACAAGCCACCATCCGATACACAGAGGACGAACAGCCGAATGAATGAACCACTGACAGCCTAAGATGAGCTTCTGATTCATGCAACTCCGACAAACACGTTCCCCACTTCTTAGCCTAATCCACGCTTTTCCAAAGACGGACAAATGAAGATAAATATAGACTTCAACTCCCAGACTTGAAAGAGGTTTGGAAAACACCAGCCCAACTGGGCATCGGGTGCGAATGCTGCGTCTCAGCATTCTCTCCCTTCTGTCTGCCGGCAGAGCCCCTTTGAAGTTGTGGGGAGAGGCGGGGGAAGCAGCACCCCAGTCCCGGTCCTCCCACCCGGGGCCCCGGTCTTGCACCCAGAGCCGGCAGGGGGACTTGGGACCAGCCTCCCCCTGCCCCCCAGCAGAGGTTCCCCCAGAAAATGAGGGGAAATGGCCCCTCCCTTCTGGCGACCCCCATTTCTCTCCTTTGCTCCCCCCTCCGCCCAGTCAAAGCAGGGGAAAAACCGGCAGGGCAGCATGGGACCCCGGACTCCCACCCCGTGGAAAGACTTGGCCCGTTTCCACGCTCGCCTCCAGCGCGGGACCCCTTTGCACGGGAAGAAACGCCACTCACTGAACTCGGGAGTCTCGTCGGGATCCGCGTCTTGCACGGCTTCGCGGCAGCCTCTGCACCTCCCGATCCAGGCTCATAGAGGGGGAGAAGAAGCACATAGGGCAGATGCGCTTCCCTCCTCTTCAGACGAAAGCCCAAGTCAGCACGTGAACTGCTGTAGGGAAAAGCGCCGGGCATGCTCGGCTCCCTCCTGCAAGCTGAGCGCGCCCCCTGGTGGACTCTGCGCGAAGTGCTAGGAATCTCAGAAAGGGAGGGAAAGAGGAGCGTTAGGTGGTGGGATGGCAGGGATGATGGGCATGGGAGTAGGAGGAAACGTTCCTTGCTCGAGAAAGGCGTCGGTGTCTCCAGAGACAGCAGCTTCTCCATCTTCCTGTCCAGGAACCGTCTGTGCAGATGGAGAAAAATCTTCCAGGAAGATTTGAACCCGCTTCCCTCAAGAACAGCCACCCTGAAGGCTCTGCCGAGATTGGAGGAGGCGGGCCCAAATCCTCTCAGATGAGGACCAGGACCCAACTTCTCTGTGAAACACAATTTGTGTCTTGCGGTTGTTGCGAACTCCAGCCTGAAGAGGAGTCAAATGGGACACATGTAGGGAAGCCGCAACTGGGAAAATGGAGATTTCTTCTGTGTTTCTGGTTCTCTGGTTCTGTATCTACATCTACCCTTGTCCAATTCTTGGCTCTGGGTGCCTCAGTATCACTGGGAAGGCCAAGCGGCTCCTTGTGACCAAGGAAAAGATGCTGAAGAAAAAGTGAAACCTATTGCAAAATGAAGTACAGGTCGAAGCCCCCAAAACCGTGCCCACCCCATTGCTGGCAATGGAGAAAAAGCTCCGATACATCATTATTAAAGAAGGAAATAAGATTGGTTTGGTATGAGTTGTTTTTAACAAACCCATGCTGGCTACCCATTATAACTTTGTTTGCTTCTTGTTGTTCACAGATGTTTTTTGAGTACTTTTCCAGGATCTTCCCAGGTATTGATGTAAGACTGGTCTCTTTTTTTTTTCCCTTTCTTGAACTATTATCAGCCCTTTTCCAATCCTCAGGTACTTCTCCAATGCTCCAGGATTTTTGAAATATATGGTGCAATGGTTCTGAGATAATATCTGCCAGCTCCTTCAGACCTCTGGGATATAATCTGTTGGATCCTGGTGATTTGTATTCATCAAGGTCGATAGTTGTTCCCTTACCATTTTCTTGCTTAACAGGAAGAGAGGTCAGGTTAGCATTCAGTTTACAAGTAAGGAGTGTGAGTTTAAGTGTGTCTAATAAGTTTTTGTGGGAAAAACAATTGCTGTCTTTGCATCTGCTTATTGTACAATAATAAGAAAAGCCCTAATAATTGTTAATAAGAAAATATAATTGGGAGGATTTGGATGGGGGACAAACTTAGAGCCCCCTGTGGGGTTGCAGCTGTTTATTCAAATATTACTCCTGGATGATTCTGTGTCAAAATGAAGAGAAGGCACCAATTCCAGTTTTCTGCCAGTTATTGTCAAATGTTTCATTACAAAAATGGAACAGAGTGGCAGTCAAAGAAAAATAGACAATAATTGTACTTTTCATTCATTATCTAGCGACATCCCAATTTCATTAAATCAGGGGTCTTCAAAATTGTCCTTTTTATGACTAGTGGACTTCAACTCCCAGCATTTCTTAGCCAGCATGGCTGGTTGAGGAATTCTGGGAGTTGAAGTCCACAAGTCATAAAAAGGCCAAGTTTGAAGACCGCTTCCTTAAATTCTACAGAAAGCTTTCCTACTGATATTTCCTGAGGGTGTTTACTATTCAATTTCTAAATAAAACACATTTCTCCTCTTCTTTTTCTCCCCTCATAATATTTTAATGATATATTTTCTTTTCCATAATTGCTTTCCATCCTTTTGCAGTTCCAGCTTTTCTCCAGTCACAGATAAGATGCCGCTTCCCCCTTTTCATTTCTCCTCCAAGGAGCCTCCTTGTGTAGTAAAATTATGGAATATCCTCCAATTTCAGCTTTCCCCCCACTTTGCAGCATTCTTTTCTTTCCTTCCATCAGTGTCCTTTCCTGGGTCCAAAGCAGCTGCTCGGCTTTCCCGGTGATTCTGAGACATCCGGAGCCAAGAACTGGACAAGGGCAGCTGCAGATACACAACCAGAGAAATAGAAATGCATTTTCCTAATTGTGGCTTCCCTGCAATGTCCATCTTCCTCCCCTTCAGGCTGGAGTTCGCAACAACCGCAAGACACAAATAGTGTTTCCCACAGAGCCTCCTGGTCCTCATCTTCTGACCGCTCATCAGTTTCTGAGAGGATTTCGGCCCATTTTGAGGCCTCCTCCAATCTCAGGGGAGCCTTCAGGTCGAGTGTTCTTGAGGGAAGTGAGTTGAAATCCTCCAGAGAGATTTTTTTCCTCCATCTCCACAAAAGGTGCCTGGATAGGTAGATGGAAAAAAGACGCCGCCTCTGGAAACACCGAAGTCTTTCCTTCTCCGATACGCATCATCCCTGCCCTTCTCCCCGCCTCAGACGCGCTACTCTTTCCCGCTCTTTCGGGTACTGCTGACATTTCGCGCAGAGTCCACCAGACAGCGCTCTCAGCCTCCGAAGGGAACTGGGCATGCGCATGACTCCTCCGCCAGGGCAGAACACCCGCGTTGCCCGGAGAAATCGTAAGAAGCGGCTGATCTTTCTCCTCCCCCCTCCCTCCGCTTAGAGGCGGGGGCGGGGCGTGGACGGGAGGCACAGAAACTGCCGGGAATCTCTGCGGGGAGGCGGAGCGCGACGAGACTCCTGATTTACACGAGTGGCGGCTCTACCCGTGCAAAGGGGTCACGCGGTGAAGGTGAGCGTGGAGACGGGCCAAGTCTTCCGCCCAGGTGGGAGTCCGGGGTCCCATCTTCCACTGCCGCCCTTTTCCATGCAGGGCCCGGCAAGGGGGCGGGGGGGAAGGAGAGAAATGGGGGTCGCCAGAAGGGAGGGGCCCTTTCCCCCCATTTCCCGGGGGAGCCTCTGCATGGCGGGGGGAAGGCGCGGCTGAAAGGAAATCCCCCTGCCTGCTCTCCCTTCTGTCTGCCGGCTGCTTCCCCCGCCTCTCCCCACGACCTCCAAGGGGCTCAGCCGGCAGACAGAAGGGAGAGAATGCGGAGACGCATCATTCGCACCGGATGCCCAGTTGGGCTGGTGTTTCCCAAACCTCTTTCAAGCCTGGGAGTTGAAGTCTATATTTATCTTCATTTGTCCGTCTTTGGAAAAGCGTGGATTAGGCTAAGAAGTGGGGAACGTGTTTGTCGGAGTTGCATGAATCAGAAACTCATCTTAGGCTGTCAATGGTTTATTCATTCGGCTGTTCGTCCTCTGTGTATCGGATGGTGGCTTGTTAACTCAGGCTTCTCAAGTTCCCAAAGGAGTTTGGGCCAGAATGATTAATGGGGTTCTGCTGTCTAAAGTTTTATTAAAGGTTCTAATGTTGATTTAACTCTTCTTTGAAATCATTAGAACAAATAACCAGGAATTTGAAATCCAAAACATAATTTAAATATATTTGTCCAGTAGTTTGAGTCTTTCATAGAAGTTGATCAAGAAGGATTTATCAGAATATGTCCCAGCTGTTAAAGTTCAAATATCTAATAGGATTCCCTCACTTTCTTCCCTGATCTTAGTGGTTTTATAAGATATTATTATCTTTTTTTGTGGGGTGGGGGATGGATTGACGCTTGTTAACATAGTTACCCTGATTTCCTGGTACTTTGGTTTTCCATTTTGGAAATAGAAGCTGCAAAAAAGAGTGCAATATAGGTAAAGTATAGATAGGGTTTCCTGTCTGAGTAGGGGATTGGACTAGAAGGCCTCCAAGGTCCCTTCCAACTCTATTATTATTATCATCATCATCATCATCATCATCATCATCATTATTATTATGACAGTTAAGAGGGTGGGTGAACATCACATTAAGGTGTGTTCTTTCAAGCCCTGTGTTTCATGTGAACTTTGCCCTTATGGTTGGTTAACCAGTTTGGGGTCAGGGCAAATTGTGTGAAGCAGCCTTCGGGTTATAGTTTGACTTTGTTCCCAAAAAGCCAGCACTGAAAAACAGGAAGTGAGCATCCTAAGTCAGGGTCATTTCCTTGGGATTTCATCTGATGTGAACTCAACCTTCAGGGCATCGTTAGAACGTTGTTCCTTCCCAGGATCATTTCATTCAGCATTATCCATATTAGGGGTTTCCTTCCTTTTCCTCACTGACAAAAGGTGAATTTGGGATGAGCCATTTTTGGAACTTCCTCCTTTTCTCTATCGCTCCAGTTACTTACAAACATACAAACTTTAAAAAGACATCCTTAATACTGGTGTATGTCTAGTGCCTAAATGTCTTAACATGAAGGACAAGAAACGTGTCAAAATTCTGTATTTCATTGCAGTTTCTTAAGCACTTTGAGTTCTAGCATCTTGTATGATCCCTAATTGTAGGGTATATATGATTTTAAATGTCAAAGGAAGCTAACTTGCCCTTCAGGGAAAAAAGAAATTGAAAATCCACCAAATATAAAACATTTCTTTTATAATCCAATATAAAATATTCCACGTCTTGATGCCACACTTGATGGACAGACAAAAAGAGAAATACCCAGAGGATCCATCTGCTGAATACCTATGCAATCCTTTACCAACTTCACTTTCATGAGGAGGAATGTTGTCCACCACCTTCTCATTTTTTTAATTTATTTTTTTGTTCCATTTCAGACGCAGAAACTAGAGTAATGTCAACAACCTTCCTAACAACAAAAAGTTAACTCTTGGGCAAAGAGCTTGGATAGCCTTTGGTCAGTCCTGCAGCTACCAGAATAGTCCTATGAATTGAAAGGTGTTTGGAGATCCACAAGATTCCTCCGACCTATCTGGAATTTCCTTCCAGGACAGACGAAGGATGCAGAAACAACGGTTAGGAAGTGGGGGAACTGGAAAATGTCCCTCTGCTGTTGAGCCTGGCAGCTGTGGGAAGATCTGGGCAAAAACTGAGAAGAGGTCCCTGGAGGAGAAAACCATAATCCGTTCAGAGATTCAGCCCTGGAACTTCAGAAACATCCAATATGAGGAGATTGATGGTCCCCGAGGACTTTGCAGCCGACTCCACAACCTTTATACTCAATGGCTGAGACCAGAAAAGCACACCAAAGCCCAGATGTTGGACCTAGTAGTTCTGGAGCAGCTGCTGGCCCTTCTGCCCCCTCTGATAGAAAACTGGTTGCGGGAATGTGGAGCAGAGACCAGCTCCCAAGCGGTGGCCCTGGCGGAAGGCTTCCTCATGAGTCAGGCAGAGGAGCAGAAGGAGCACGTTGAATTGCAGGTGAGAGACCTTCATCTTTGAAGTCCAGAAGGGAATAAAGAATGTGTTTGAATTTTTCACCCCTCCCTTCCCTTCTTTTCTGCTCTTCATAATATGTGGAGATGCTTCACTGGTTCTTGCAGGACATTGTTCCATTATCCATTCTAGAAGATAGACTGGAGACAGCTGTTCCTTTCTTACATTCTAGGCTCATTGATTGATTTTGGGGCACCGAAGTTGTTTTTAGAGAATAAGAATCCACTTCATGTTGTGTGATGTCTTATTCAAGTCTTTCCCTCTGCAGACCAGAGATCCTAGGAGAATCGGGAATCCATCAAATTCTCAGGAGCTGTTTTCCAGGAGGATCTATCAGGAATCCGCAAGTCAGGACATCTCAGATGGTAATCAAAAATCCACCCATTCCCAAGAGAGGTCCCAGCTGTCTTACCTTCTCTCTCTTCTCTTCTGTAGAAGGCCTCCTGCCATTTTATTAATTATCCTTTTAAAAATTCTGTCTCCCTCACAGGGAAGAATAGAACAAATCTGACTCCTTTCTATGGTGGTGCTGAAAGAGTGGTTGAAGTTCCAACTCAAGTAAGAGAGGTATAATAAAAAATAAAATGTTCTCAATGTTAGCGTTTTCTAAACAGTAATCCTATTAGTAATTCTTTGGCATGGAATAGTGCAATAATAACGGAAAGAATCACATTGGCATCTTACAACTTCTAATGCGCCTTGTTTAGTGATAAGAAAAATAATGGCACCAGGTTAAAAGATGAAGCAGACTGTTAAAATCCAAAGAGGGTGGGCAGATCAAGGCCCTTCAGCCTTCAGAGGAATTTCTAATACTCCGATTTGTGCCTGGAATTTGGGGCCAAGCAATCCAGCTTTGGAAAGGATGAGAAATGCTCTTCCCAGGAAGGTTTCTTTTCTTCAGCCATTGGGTTGGGGTACAAGCCGTGGATTCCTTGTAATCTGAGGAGCAGCGGAAACAGGGCTTGTGTCCCTTTGTCTGTTGATAATACCCATGTAAATCCCTGGGTGGCTCTCAAACAACTTTAATGAAGGTTTTGGGCATGGATAGGATTGTGTGTTCTGAGGACACCACAAGCCTTTTACTTAAATGGTAAAAAGAACCCCTCCACCTTGCATTTGTATGGGATTGAGTGATGGGTGGGGGTTCCAAAGCCCATTCCAGCTGATTCTCTCCAGATACTGAAATTCTTGCTGATGGATGGGGATAGATAGACAGACCCCGATGAAAAGTGAAATTACTTTTACTGATTTGCCTGAAATGTATATCTTTGCTTATAATCACTTAAACAATAGTAAAGATCTTGAAAATCTTCCTGATTTTTCTTCTGTTTTCTTATTCAGGAGGATCTTGTGTCCTTTAAGGAGGTGGCTGTGTATTTCTCCGAGGATGAGTGGTCTCACCTGGATGCTGACCAAAAAGCACTGCATCGGGAAGTCATGCTGGAAAATCATAGGAACGTGGCCTCTTTGGGTAAAAATACGCTACTCTCTAGTCAAAGTCTTCAGAAGACATTCTGTAATTAGATATATTAGCACTTTCTTTTTATTATTATTATACTTTTATTAAAGGAATTTTATCAGAATAAAAACAATACAAAGTTTGAAGGGGAAATAAAGAAGATAGAGTAATGTGATTAGTGAATGAGAAAAAAATATGATAAAACTGAAGAGAAAAGACAAAATAAGTTATAATTTGTGCCTTCTTTCTAAGGTTACATCGTTATTTCCTCCTTTACATAATTTATTATCCTTTTCAATCTTCAACTAAAGTTTGATAAAAAGTTCATTTTTCTTTTTTTTTAGTAAAAGTCCATCAGTGGTTTCCAATCACTAATATAGATATTGTCCTTTCCTTAATCAGAGTCAATTTAATTAGCATTGAGAATTCTATCATCTTCCCTAACCATTCCACCATTCTAGTTACGTAGAGCCCTTCCAGCTTTTTGTGTATAATAGTTTTATTATGGGTATCATACTCAGAAAAAATCTTCAATTACTGTTGATTAGTGCCGAGATAAAGTGTTCCGATTTCAGCTGGATATTAATCTTTAAAGTTCTCTGTATCACTGAATATCGTTGACCCCAAACTTTTCTAGCTTTTTTACAAGTCCACCAGAGCACGACAAAATGATCCTCTATCTTGTCCACATTGCCAATATAAGCTTGAGGTACATTTATACACTTTTGAATTTTTTTCTGTTCATTTTCACATTCCTCAGCCTGTTTAGAGGTTTTAGCAATTACATATTCATCTTTTCTACACAAATAAAACTCAAATTCTGCTTTATGTTGTTGAATATTATAGTTCCCTTTACCTGGGATCTTTCTGATAATTTGAAAACTACTGACAATTACAGTGCATTCAGAAAGTATTCAAACATCCCTCACTTTTGCCAATTAAGTTTTGCTGCAGTCTGATTCTACAGTTGTTGAAATTCATTTACTTTATCATTAATCTACACGCAGTACCCATAATGACAAAGTGAAACCGGTATTTTAGAAATGTTTGTGAATTGATTAAAAAGGAAAAACTAAAATACCACACATTGGCATAAGTATTCAGACCCTTCACTCACTACTTTGTTGAAGCACTTTTGGCAGCAACTACAACCTCGACTCTTTTGGGGCATGACGCGACAAGCATTATTTTATCTACCTAGAATCTTTTTGATAATATGAAAACTATATATTTTTTTCCATTCTTGACTTAATTTGGTATTCCCACAGCTCAAGTTCTAATGGCTCTCGACATGTGATCCATTGTCTTTACTTGCTGCTTTTTTTTTCTGCTGAGAGCCATTAGGATGTTTTGGGGCACAGCCTGAGTTTATATAACAACAATAATAATAATACAGTTGGAAGGGATTTTGGAGGTCTTCTAGTCCAACCCACTGCTCAGGCAGGAAGCCCTATACCAGTGGTGACGAACCTATGGCACACGTGCTAGAGCAGCACTCGGAGCCCTCTCTGTGGGCACACGTGTCGTCGCCCCCCCCGCCCCCCCACGGCCCCCTCCTCATCAGCCTTCCTGGAGGAGAGTCGCTACAGCCCACACGGAGCAGTGCATCCAAGGACATAGCCAGGCAGCGGGGACAAGACTCTGCCCTCATACCCCATAGTGTGCAGATGATGTTGCGGGGTGTGGGCAGAGGGTGTGGCTGCCATGGGGCTGCAGGGCTGCCTGGGCAATCTGTGGCGGGCCATGGAAGCGGTGCATGGCCCTGCGGGAGGGTGGAGCAGGCAGGGCGGGAGGCGGAGCAGGGACGGGGGGCGGCGGTTTTTGAGCACTCGGTCTCTAAAATGTTCACCATCACTGCCCTGTACCATTTCAGACAAATGATTGTCCAATCTCTTCTTAAAAACTTTCAGTGTTTGAGCATTCACAACTTCTGGAGGCAGGTTGTTCCACTGATGAATTGTTCTAACTGTCAGGAAATTTCTCCTTAATTCTTCTCTCTTTGGTTAGTTTCCATCTGTTGCTTCTTGTCCTGCCTTCGTGTGCTTTGGAGAATAGCATGACTCTCTCTTCTTTGTGGCAAACCCCAAAATATCGGAATACTGACATCATGTCCTTCTCTTTATTAAACTAGACATACCCAATTCTAGCAATCATTCTTTATATGTTTTAGCCTTCAGTCCCCTGATCCTCTTTGTTGCTCTTCTCTGCACTCTTTCCTAGAGTCTCAAGATCTTTTTTACATCGTGGTGACCAAAACTGGATGCAGTATTCCAAGTGTGGCCTTACCAAGGCGTTGTAAAGTAGTATTAACATTTCAGGGGATCTTGATTCTATCCCTGTTAATGCAACCTAGCAATGTGTTGGCTTTTTGGGCAGCTGCAGCACACGGCTGGCTCCTATTTAAGTGATTGTCCACTAGGATTCTGAGATCCCTCTCACAGTTATTATTATTGAGGTACCATCTATATTGTACCTGTGCATTTGGTTTTTCTTGCCTAAATGTAGAAACTTACTTTTTTCACCACTGAATTTTATTTTATTAGATAATGCCCTATGTTCAAGTCTGTTAAGATCCTTCTGTATCTTAAGCCTATCTTCTGGAGTGTTGACTATTCCTGCCAGCTTGATATCATCTGCAAATTTGATGAGTTTCCCATCAATTCCCTCATCCAAATCATTAATGAAGATGTTGAAGAGCACTGGGCCCAGAACAGAGCTCTGGGGTATGCCACTACACACTTCCCTTCATGTAAATGCAGTTCCATTAAGGACCACATGCTGAGTATGGCCAGTCAGCCAGCTACAAATCCATTTGGTGAGGATGCTGTCTAACCCACATTTTTCTATCTTATCAAGTAACAGGTTGTGGTCTACTTAATCAAATACCTTACTGAAGTCCAAGTAAATTATATCTGCAACATTCCTCTAGTCCACTAATTTTGTCACCTGGTCAAAGAATGCAATAAGATTTGTCTGGCATGGTCTGTTTTTGACAAACCTGTGTTGGCTTTTGGTAATGAGTTTGTTTGCCTCTAGGTGTTCACTGGTTCATTGCTTGATTATCTTTTCCAGAATCTTCCCAGGTATTGAGGTCAGGCTGATAGGTCTGTAGTTTCCTGGATCCATTTTTCCCCTTTTTTGAAGATGGGAACTACATCAGTCTTTTCCAGTCTTCTGGTAGTTCTCCAGTGCTCTGAGATCTTTGAAAGATATAATTAATTCATTCTGAGATCGCATCTGCCAGTTCCTTCAGAACCTTTGGGTGTAATCCATCTGGTCCTGGTGATTTGAACTCGTCTAGGGTGGAAAGGTGCTCACATCGTTTTCTTGCCTATCTTAACTTGTATTTCTAATCTATTTTTAATAGTACTGTTTTTGATAGGTTGGACTGTTTTTTCTCTTTGTGTAAAGACGGCTGCAAAAAATGAGTTAAGTAGTTCTGCTTTCTCCCTGATGCTTGTCAACTTCTTACCACTTTCTCCCACTAATGGACCAATCATTTCCTTAACCTTTTTCTTTTTTTTACATGTTGAAAGAAGCTTTTTTTGTTATTTTTTACTTTTGTTGCAAGCCTTAGTTCATTTTGAGCCTTAGCCTTCCTCATTTCATCTTTGCAGGCTCGAGTTATTAGCTAATATTCTGCCTTAGTTATGTGCCCCTCTTTCCACTTTTTATACTTGTCCTTTTTGTCTTTCAATTTATCAGAGAGTTCTTTATGCAGCCAAGTTGGTTTCTTTTGAGAGTTGTTATTTTTCTTTTTCATTGGTGTTGTGCTAGACTGGGCTTTTATAATCCCACTTTTCAAAATTTCCCAAGATTCTTAAGTTGTTTTCTCATTGAGGATTCTCATCCATGGAATCCTTCCAAATCTCTCTTTAAGTTTATTGAAATTAGCTCTCTTAAAGTCCAAGATTCTAGTTTAACTGTGTTCTATTTCTTGTGCTTGCAAAATGTTGAGTTCCAATATTGCATGATCACTCCCCTCCAAGATTCCTGTGGCTTCAACACCTTCTATCATCTCATCTCTGTTAGTGAGAATTAAATCCAATGTGGCTGATCCCCTAGTTCCCTTCTGTTCTTTTTGGGAGACATTTCATAGTTGTTGTGCTCTATTTTTGCAGAGATGTAGTTAAGATAATAATAATAAAGTTGGAAGGGACCTTGGTGGTATCGAGTCCAAGCCCCTGCTCAGGCAGGAAACCCTACACCATTTTGGACAGATGGCTGTCCAGTCTCTTCTTAAAAACTTTCAGTGTTGGAGCATTCACCGTTTCTGGAGGCAGGTTGTTCCATTGGTTAATTGTTCTCACTGTCAGGAAGTTTCTCCTTAGTTCTAGGTTGCTTCTCTTCTTGATTAGTTTCCACCAGTTGCTTCTTGTCCTGCCTTCTGGCACTTTGGAGAATAGCTTGACTCCCTCTTCTTTATGGCAGCCCCTGAGATATTGGAACCCTGCTATCATGTCCCCCCTCGTCCTTCTCTTCGTTAAACTAGACATACCCAATTCCCAATTATTTCTTATATAGAGAACAACTCTACCTCCTCTTTTATTTGGTCTGTTTTGTTTAAATAATTTTAATCCCTCTAGTTGTGTGTTCCATTTGTGGGTTTTATCCCACCAAGTTTCTGTAAGGGCAACAGTATCATATCTGCTGTTATTTACCTAAATTTCTAATTCACCCTGTTTATTGCTCATACTCTGTGCATTGGTGTATAGATATTTGATTCATTTATGACTGACCCTATGTTTATTTTCTACATAATCTACGTGATGCCTGAGTTCTCCTATTTTCTTACCATCTTTTGATTAGCGCACTTAGTGTGGCACTATTAAAAGCTTGATTTTGCTTGACTGCATGGTTGATATTATCTGCACACACAACTATGTTACATGCACTGATAACCCTATTAGTTTTATATCTCTTTCATATTCTCAATGTGGCATATCTAACACTATGGTTTTAAAATCTAGGTTGATCCTAAATTTACCATACCACAAACACCCATGACCTCCAAACCACTGTCATGCCTTTCTAGTTCTAAAATTCTTTTATTTCTGAGAAACTGCCATTTCTTATCCAAACCGCACAGCAGACTACAAAGTCCAATTTCAAGTAGGGCAAACCAAATCTTCCTATTTCCTTGGAAACTTAGAGAATGTGATATTTAATCCATGGTTTTTCCCTTGCTATACAAAGCTAGACTTACCTTCCAAAATTTTAATCAAGAAAGTATGGATCAATTTCTTGAAGGGCTTCTATGCATCTAAAAAGATTGAAGCATTATATTCAAATTTCGTATGCTTTGTTCTTTTTCCCTAAAGTTATTTTCATTTTTTTTTCTTGTGAAGGTAATAATGGGGAGAAAAATGAAGATTCCAGGGAACTATTCCAAGTAATCACTCGTGGATACAATACGAAGAACCCTACAATTCTAGCTGAAATAGAAAGCCATGAGAGAAACCAGTCAAATAATTGCAATCAGGAAAGTTCATCTTCTGTTCATTTCCTGACTGAAGTTTCTGTGGCCCAACAAGGAAAAATAAAAAACAAATATATTGGAAAACAGATAAAGGTATTAATAAACAAATTAGATGTAAATAAATACTATCAATCCCAAACCAAAGATTATATATATACAGAGAATGTAAAAAATTACAAATGGACCTTGTCTGTTCTTCATAAAAATGGGTCCCGTACATCTCAAAAAAGAATCCGCCCAGGAGAGAAACTCTATAAATGTGTGGAGTGTGGAAAGAGCTTTATGAAAAACAATCAACTTATTTACCATAAAAGGATCCACAAAGTAGAGAAAACGTATAAATGCATGGAGTGTGGGAAACGCTTTATCAAGATTAGTCATCTTTTAAATCATAAAATGATCCACACAGGGGAAAGGCCTTATAAATGCATGGAATGTGGAAAGACCTTTATTCATAGAACTTATCTTAATTCACATACCAGGATCCACACAGGAGAGAAGCCCTATAAATGCGTGGAGTGCGGAAAGACGTTCACTTTTAGTACTTCTCTTACTTTGCATTCCCGAATCCATACAGGGAAGAAGCCATATAAATGCATGGAGTGTGGAAAGAGCTTTACTCAGAGTGGCACTCTTACTTCCCATAAAAGGACCCACACAGGGGAGAAGCCCTATAATTGCATGGAATGTGGAAAGAGCTTTACTAAGAGCAGCAGTTTTACTTCCCATAAAAGGATCCACACAGGGGAGAAGCCCTATAATTGCATGGAATGTGGAAAGAGCTTTACTAAGAGCAGCAGTTTTACTTCCCATAAAAGGATCCACAAGCAAAAGATGTATGAATGCAAGGACGATGGAAAGAACTTTATTACAGACTGTCAACTTACAAGTCATAAGAAGATCCACAGAGAAGAGAAGCGGCATGAATGTATGGAGTGTGGAAAGACCTTCAGTGCACAGAGAAAACTTAATTTCCATAAAATGATCCACACAGGGGAAAGGCCTTATAAATGCATGGAGTGCGAAAAGACTTTTATTCAGAGAACACATCTTAATTTACATCAAAGGATCCACACCGGAGAGAAGCCCTATAAATGCATGGAGTGTGGAAAGAGCTTCTTATACAGTAATTCTCTTACTTCCCATTACTGGATCCATACAGGGGAGAAGCCATTTAAGTGCACAGAGTGTGGAAACACCTTCTGTCAATATTCTTCTCTTACTCTTCATAAACGAATCCACACAGGAGAGAAGCCCTATAAATGCATGGAATGTGGAAAGAGCTTTCCTAAGAACAGTGACCTTATTTTCCATAAAAGGATCCACACAGAGGAAAAGCCATATAAATGCATGGAGTGTGGAAAGAGCTTTGTTAAGAACTGTCAACTTATTTACCATAATAGGATACATACAGGGGAGAAGCCTTATAAATGCATGGAGTGTGGTAAGGCTTTTATTAGAAATGGTAATCTTAATGTCCATAAAAGGATTCACACTGGGGAGAAGCCATATAAATGCATAGAATGTGGGAAAAGTTTTTCTACGAAGAGTTATCTTAACATCCACAAAAGGATCCACACAGGGGAGAAGCCATATAAATGTGTGGTGTGTGGAAAAGGTTTTATTACAAAGCATTGTCTTAACTCCCATAAAAAGACCCACATGGTGTAGAATTCCTGTAAATCTGTGAAATATGGAAAAAGCTTCAAGAGGACCAATGGCCGAATGTTCCATATATAGATACCGTATTTTCCTGCGTATAAGACGACTTTCTAAACCATGCAAATCTTCTCCAAAGTCGGGGGTCATCTTATACGCCGAGTCGTCTTATACGCCGGAAAATACCGTATTTTCCGGCGTATAAGATGACTTTCTAACCATGCAAATCTTCTCCAAAGTCGGGGGTCGTCTTATACGCCAAGTCTTATACACCGGAAAATACAGTATATTTGGGTGAGAATCTGTTTAACTGTTTAGTTAGGTTTAGTTGTTGAAATATATTCATTTTCTAATTATATATACTGAATGAGTAATGGGTTTTTTTTTTTTTTAGTCTGACTTTCACAACTGGAAGCCCCAGAGAGATGAGTTTATTAATAGAAACCAAACACGAATAGCGGATTTTTGTAATTACTGCCCATTGAGGATCATTGGAAAGTCACCAATGGCCTTTCACACGAATAAGAAAACATCTTTTTTCCCTCGTGTTTATCTCATTTTCAGTTGGATCATAATAAAGAAATCATTGGTCATGCTACCACCTGCAACACTCGTGACTTCATCGAAGCCTTGCACTCCACAAGCAATTCCATCAAGAATTGACCTAGAACCAGCCTACAAAGTCCTCAGAATCCGAATCAATCATACATCCAATTGGAGAGAGCACCAACCTTCAACCAACCCACAGAAGCCTCCTATCCCTCCCCTAGCAGTTCCAGTGACCCTGGCTTGATGTAATCTCCCCATCACAAGATCCATCACCAGCCTCTCCCTGATGACTCACACTTGGCCCACTGATAATTAATACCATCCAAGGATTCTGACCTGAAGTAACCTGCCCATCACAAGCCTCTCTCTGATGACTCATCATAAGACCCTCATACCCACACCTGAAGCTCTTATAAATAGAAGAGCACTGACATTCACTGAACGCTGCTGAAGATGTTACCTAACAAAATGTTTGGACACCAACCCATAAGCTTGGAAAACGAACCTTCACCCTCATAATAAAGCCCAAATCTCCAATAAAAGCTCTATAATAGTTTAATTTTTGAGGGCAAACATAGGGCCTAGCGAGCAAAATGTCATTCCAGGCATACTATGGAAAAGGCATAAATCAGGAAAGACTTGTAAAAATTATAGCTAAATATGAATGACCAAAATAAGTGTGATGCTAAAGAAGATATCTTATGACTAGAACAGTTTAATTGGCAAATGTTTTGCAGTTAAGCTTTGTATGGCTGTCCGTAGACATTTTATAAAGAATTGCAAGATGTTGAAATGGAAAATGTCTTGGGATATTGTGCTAAATTACAAGAATGTTCAAAAAAGAAATATCTGGTGACAGTGTAACATCAGATCCTCTTTAATCTATGCTTAATGATACAAAAAATCCAGTGGATTTACACTCTCCACGGTATATTCAGTTTGGGCAAGGGGCTCACCTGATAATGTATCTCAGTATTGAGATGAAAAATGATTGATCTAGAAGAATGTGATCAGGCAGACGTTTAATAGGAGTTGCTTCTCCAAGAAGCTGCATCTCTTGATCCATCGGTTCAACACAAAACCTTTTAAACAATTCTTCCTCTAGCAGAAATGGGAATGAGAAATTCCTCTGGAGTGTGCGATAAAAAAAAAAATCCAAAAATTATTCATGGGAAGGGGAGACGAAAATCTCCTGAGAAATGCCTATGGAGATTCTCAGACATCCAGGTCATGGTTGTCACAAAGGTACTTTTCCTAAAGGCAACTGGATTTTGTGTTTTCTTGAAGACGTTTTGCTTCTTATCCAAGAAGCATCTTTTGTTCTGAAGAAGCATCAGAACTGAAGATGCTTCTTGGATAAGGAGAAAAATATCTTCAAGAAAATAAAAGGCCCAATTCCTTTGGAAAAAGTACTTTGCCAAATCTACAGAGGAGTGCAAAGGTTTTCATATACAAAAGAAGAAGAGAAAAATATGTAGATCAAGTAAGATAGACATAGTTGCAAAGCCGTGGTAATAGGAAGAGAGTAAAATAAGGTGCAGTTACAAGTAAGGAGTGAGGATTTAAGTGTGTCTAATAAAAATTTGTGCAGGGAGGGGGGGGAATGCTTTCTTTGCGTCTGCTTACTGTACAATAATAAAAGTCCTAAGAATTGCTAATAGGCAATTTTGGGGGGAAGGATTTGAGCATGGGACAAAGTTCAGAGTTTCAGAGGCTCCTGCTGGGTTGAAGCAGTTTATTCAAATAGTATCCCGGGGTGATTCTCTATCAAACTGGAGGAAATGCACCAATGCCAGTTTTCTGTCAGCTATTGCCCAAATTTTTCATTAGAGAAATAGAAATCAGAGTGGCAGTCACACAAAATTAAAAAACCATTGTACTTTTTATTCATGCTCTAGAGCAGTGGTTCTCAACCTGTGGGTCGGGATCCCATTTGGGATCGAACGACCATTTCACAGGGGTCGCCAAACAACGCAGTCCGCCATTTTTTTTCCCTTTTCCTTAGCTGTGCTACTCCCTTTTATTCTATTGGCTTTTGGAAGCCAATAGAATAGACTCTCTTGAATAGAGTCTAATTCTACTGGCTTTCCAAAGCCAATAGGAATTGTCCAGGCTGTCTCTGCCCTGCTGAGCCTGCCAAAAGTCCCATTTTGCAAACGGTGCTGCACCAGTTGAGTAGTCCTCGACTTACGACCGGTTGAGTAGTCCTCAACTTACGACTGGTTGGGGGTCGCGGCATTGAAAAGGTTGAGAACCACTACTGTAGAGACATCCCGGTTACCTTAAATTCTATGGATGGAAACTAAGGGATGGAAACTAATCAAAGAGGAGCAATCTAGAATTAAGGAGAAATTTCCTGAAAGAACAATCAGTGGAACAACCTGCCTCCAAAAGTTGTAACTGCTCCAGCACTGGAAGTTTTTAAGACAACCGTTTCTCTGAATGTTTCTTACCTGAGCAGGGGTTGGACTAGAACACCTCCAACGTCCCTTCCAACTTTATTATTATAATAATGATTATTATTACTATTATTGTTATGACCCAGGTGATAACGGTTAGGCAGGCCTCTAGACCAGGGGATGTCAAACTGCCAGCCCACAGGCCGGACGCATCACATGGAACGGGAATACTCCATTGCCAGAAATGGCAAAACCATCCTGATACGTTGCACAATCTCATGTGACGTCGTGAGTTTGACATGCCTGCTCTAGACATTTCTTTATCTCTCTTGGGAATGGTTCAACAAATGGCCCTCCAGTGGCCAGTAAGGCTCCACACTCAGTCCCACCAACGAGCCCATAAATTACCCAGCAAGCCCACAAGGCAAAAGTCCAGGCATAAGACAAGGGCAGTTTTGAAGACAAAGTCTTCGGTTTCGTCCCTCTTCATTTGTCTTCCAAGGAGCCTCCCTTGTGAGGTAAAATTTCTGGAACATCCACTAGTTTCAGCTTTTCCCCTACTGTGAAGCAGCTTTTTTTCCCCTTCATCCTTTCCTTGGACACAAGCAGTGGCTTGGCCTGCCCGGTGATCCTGAGGCACCCGGAGCCAAGAATTGGAACAGAACCAGAAACACGGGAGAAATCTCCATTTTCCCTGTTGTGGCTTCCCTGCCTGTGTCCCATCTTTCTCCCCTTCAGGCTGGAGTTTGCAACAACCGCAAGACAAAAATTGCGTTTCCCAGAGAGGCTCCTGGTCCTCATCTTCTAACTGCCTGGGCGTTTCTGACAGGACTTGGCCCCTTTTCTTCAAATATCAGTAGAGCCTTCAGAGCAGTTGTGCTTGAGGGAAGCGAGTTCAAATCCTCCAGGGAGATTTTTCTCCATCTCCACACACGCTTCCTGGACAGGAAGATGGAGAAGCTGCCGCCTCTGGAGACGTGGCGTCTCCTTTCTCGGGCAAGGAACCTTTCGTCCTGCTCCCATACCCATCATCCCTGCCGTCCGCCTTCTACTCTTTCCCGCCCTTTCGGGAAAAAATTGTGTCAGTTCTCACAGAGTCCACCGGAGGTCGCGCTCAGCTACAGTAGGGAACTGAGCATGCGCCGCGCTATTCCTCTAGCCCAAGTCACGTGTTCAGAAGAGGCTGGAGCCGTTTCTGTTTCCTTTCTCCCTCTATAAGCCTGGATCGGGGCCTTTGCAGGAGGCGCAGAGGCTGCCGGGAAGCCTTGCGGAGACGCCGATCCCGACGAGACTCCCGACTTCCGTGAGTGGCGGCTCTGCCCGTGCAAAGGGGTCCCGTGCTGGAAGGGAGCGTGGAGACGGGCCAAGTCTTCCCCCGGAGTGGGAGTCCGCGGTCCCATGTTCCCCTGCCGCCCTTTCCCATGCTTTGACCGGGCGGAGGGGGGGGGAGCCAAGGAGAGAAATGGGGATTGCCAGAAGGGAGGGGGGAGCCAGTGCATCGGGGGGGGGGGAGGGGAAGGATTGCCGGAAATCCAACTGGAGAAAAGAACAAACTAGGATCAGACCCTACAGGCTTAAGAGGGTGGGTGAACATCATTAGAATGCATCGTTAGAATGTTGTTCCTTCCCAGGATCATTTCCTTCAGCATTATCCATATTAGGGGTTTTCTTCCTTTTTCTCACTGACAAAAGGTAGAAGCTGCAAATCTTTATAGAAGCTGCAAATCTTTAGTGCAGTATAGGTACAGTGTAGATAGGATTTCCTGTCTGAGTAGGGGGTTGGACTAGAAGGCCTCCAAGGTCCCTTCCAACTATCATTATTATTATTATTATTATTACTGATCATCGCACAGTCAGCCAGATGTTCAGACTGGATTTGGCATTTTGTCTACCTATCGAGTCCTTACCCAGGACCTGGGATAGGCAGATGTGGATGTTTGATGGTATTACAGGTATCGTCGCAGGATGGAAGCAGTTCCTAATAAGGCCGCCTTTTGCAATTGACTAATAGCGAATTTGTCAATGCCAATGGTGTTCAAGTGGTGCTCCAGTTGTTTTGGGATTGCACCCAAGGAGCCTATGCCTATTGGTACTACCCTTGCTTGCTTTTGCCACAGTCTTTCTATTTCTATTTGTAGGTCTTTGTATTTTGTTATCTTCTCCAGTTCTTTCTCGTCTATTCTGCTGTCTCCAGGCACTGCCCCGTCCACTATCCAGACTTTTTTGTCTTTCTTATCGACAATTGTTAAGTCTGGGGTGTTATGTTGCAGGTGCTTGTCTGTTTGAATTCTGAAGTCCCAGAGCAGTTTAATTTTATCATTTTCTATGACTTTCTCTATTTTATGATCCCACCAGTTTTTGCTTACAGGCAAATGATATTTTTTGCACATCTTCCAGTGCACCATTGTTGCTACTTTGTCATGCCGCTGCTTGTAATCAGTTTGTGCAATCTTCTTGCAACAGCTTACCACGTGGTCCACTGTTTCTTCAGCTTCTTTGCATAGGCGGCACTTACTGTCTGTTGCTGTCTTCTCAATTTTGACTTTGTATGCATTTGTCCTTAAGGCTTGGTCTTGTGCAGCCAGAATTAGTCCCTCGGTCTCTTTCTTCAATTTTCCTGCTCTTAGCCATTGCCAGGTTTTATTATTATCTGCTTTCCCAGCTATTTTTTTCATGTATTGGCCATGTAGTGCTTTGTCTTCCCATGCCTCTATTCTGTTCTTCATTTGGTCTTTCTTGTAGGCCAGTTTGGTCTCTCCAGTAGTTAGTAAGCCTTCCTGATATACTAATTTCAGTGCATCTTCATCATTGTTCTTCAGATATTCTTCCAAAGCCATTTTTTCTTCTTCAACCATCTGATGTACTTGTAGCATTCCACGCCCACCTATTTGCCTTGGTAGATAAAGTCTATCAATGTCACTGCGTGGATGAAGGGCGTGATTAATTGTCATTATTTTTCTGGTCTTCCTATCCATTGCTTTTAGTTCTGCTTGAGTCCAGTCCACTATTCCAGCTGTGTACCTAATGACTGGGATTGCCCAGGTGTTGATTGCCTTTATGGTATTTCCTCCATTGAGTTTGGACTTTAAGATCTTCTTCACTCTCTTGATGTATTCACCTCTAATCTTTTTCTTGACTTCAGTGTGCTTGATGTTGTCAGCTTGAAGGATACCCAAGTATTTGTAGTATTCTTCCTCGTCCAGACTCTTAATGTTATTTTCGTGGGGCATCTTGATTCCTTCAGTTTTCACTATTTTTCCTTGTTTGATAGTAAGTGTGGCACATTTGTCCAAGCCAAACTCCATTTATTATTATTATTATTATTATTATTATTATTATTATTATTATTATTTCAGTTAAGAGGGCGGGTGAACATCACATTAAGATGTGTTCTTTCAAG